CCCCCCCCCCCCCGCAGTCCTTGTTACAGGTGGTCATATTTATGAAACCTTCTCCCCCTGGTGTGATGTTATATATTCTTCAGTTTTATATTTAGAAATAATTAAATTAAAACAGTAGTTCTAATTTTATTTTTATTTTATTGTTGATAACATTATTTTAGATAATTGACAGAAAAGAACACTTGTCGATGCCTTAAACCGACATAAACCTTATAAATATAGATCAGGTTACCAATATTTTTATATAAATTTCTCGTTTTAAAATTTTAGTTTTTGACATGTGATGTCACAAGACTTTTAACCCCCCCTGCCCCTTGTCACACAATGTTACACTTCGTTGGCCCCCCGTTAGCGTGTGAGGTAGTTTATGGATAACCCCCGAAACAAGAACGGATGGCTGTAATTTTCTAGGTGGTCTGCAAAATACTGAATTGACCTTGAAAATTATGATCTTTGGGAAAACTTATCTATATTTGAAATTAAGGAAAATTATAAGTGAAAATAGGTATTTATTTCATTGCATGGATCCGATTCTAGATGGCGTGTATGCAATTGGGTATTGTTTGCATTAAGCTCAGAAAATTTAAAAATTTTCAAAAGGCTTCTTGTTTACATGTTTAAGGGTGATCGTTGATTACCTCAAGTTTTTTTTTAGTTTTCCTTTTGGTTATGGCATTTTACGTGAACGTACAAACGTATTTTGTCGCGCACCAGCAGCATCATCCCTAACGACACACAGAGTGACAACGCCCTTAAAAGGGTGCGGCACAATATAAGAGAAACTTGGATGCTGTGTCTGTTCAACAGACTGGAATAAGAAAGATTACATACATACACTCGTTACGTTAATTTCTATTTTTCATTCACGATTTTTTCCAGAACGAGAATCCACAGTAACAGCGGAAAAAAGTACTAAGTAATCAGGAAAAGTTTCTGTGACGTATCTGAGACAATGATGAGAGACAAAGTTTCGGAACTTTTGTCGTCCGAACAATCGAATAATCGAAAACGAGCCTTGAAGCGTGTATCTGTCTCATCGAGTGTGCGCAGGCGACCGGAAAACTTTGGCGGACGACGAAACGAAAATTCAGCACGAGCCACGAAAATTTCATGTGCATAACGACGAGAGAAAATGAAAATGTCGTCGTTCGGTTTATCTTCTTCTTCGCGACGTCGATCGTGTCGTGGAGTTTGTCCATGACCGTAGGTACGTCCGTTTGCTGAGCTTCTGCTGGAAGGGGAACACACTTTCCAGTTCTTCGCAACCCTCCACTCGCTCCACTAACAACTGGCGACAACAGCCAGCAACGAATAACGACACCGAGACACTCGCAGAGATCCTTCTGGCAAGCGAGAGTGAGGTCTCACTATCAGCTCTCATACGTTCTTTAGTTGGTACAATAACAGCAATAAAAATCGTGACCAATTGTTACGGACTTATCAATGACGCGGAAAAAGTTTTAAAAAGACAGAAAAAAACACTACGACAACATTTTTATTGCTCGCGTGTGTAATAAAAATTTCTGGTGTTTACGTTACGTATGATGACAGTGAAGAGATCTTCGTGTGTGCATGTATGCATGTAGAGTACCCTGTATATAATACGGTGGTGGTGGTGTGCGTCGGTACAGGCACGGCGGAGCAACGGCGCCGTCGTGTTATCAGCATCAGCAGCAGCAGCATCATCGCAGCAGCGGGAGTCTCCCGGGTCGCGCCTGTGATGCAGTGCAGCACCGCTTACAATCACCAGCAGCATCAGCAGTAGCAGTCAGTAGCTGCCAGCCAGTTAGTTATACGTACCTATAAGTACCTACGTACACAGAGGTTGAGAGTGCGATGTAGGGGATCGTTTTTCCTATTTTTGGGAGTGACTGACTGACATAGCGTCGACGGGATTGTAGCGGAGATATAGTTGTGTGTTTTTCTCGATCTTATCATCATCGCTCACCTCATCCCTTATTTAATCGTCCATCGTGTGACCCGGGCGCCTCCTCGTCCTCCTCTTTCTCCTCTTCCAGCGTGATATTTTGCTTCTATCATTATTTCTTTACTAATTAGTCGCGAGCTTCACGTACGAACTCAACCAACACACCGACGGACGTAATTATTATTCAGGAACATAAGTGCCCGGGGTAGATGAAAGTGGTGGTGTTAGGCGAAGGGTTACTGTTGTTTTTGTTACTGTTGTTGTCGTCGTGCAGATGTTGGTGCTGCTGCAGGGGAGGATGTTCGACTCAACAACTCGAACGATGTCGTCGTGTGGTAAGTTGTCTTCCGATGGCCCTTATACCGTTATAATTTGTATTTTTTCGTTTTCATGAATTAAACTCGACACGTTTCGAGATAAATTTCATCGTTAAATATTATAGGCACCGTGCCACTTATATGGTAATCGGTTTATCTGTATTTCAAGCACCGCCCTTTTATTCAAACTGCAGATTTTGTGTCTTCTTCTGCACCGATGTATACGTAGGCAAACGCACATAATGTTTTAACAAATTTCAAAAAATTAACGATGGATCTACAGTGTATCTAATTTATACACAGTTGCGTTATATTTTTATATAGTAGTTCAATTTTTATAATAATTTTCGTATTTATATTAAAATACCTAGTTCACCTACTCCGAACCCCATACTTATCTTTTATTAAAATGGAAACCTATATCTACGGGGTGTTCCTTTTGTATACTTGTATTGTATTATTGTAAAACATATGTATAGGTAGATATAAAAAAGTATCTGGATAGTCCTTTCTCTCCTTTTTTTGATTAAATTAAAAACTGTAAAACTGTATTTTCCAGGGTGCTCCCTTTGTATATCTACCTGAATAATAAGCAATGATTGACTATGAAAAATGCTTGAATAGTCACCCTCCTGCAAACGGAGCACCTAGTACCTATGTATCTTATTATTATTTTTGGTTTGAAAGATAGCACTATGTTCTACAGGGCGTTCCATTTCTATACTTGCTTGTTATGAAACAGTTTATTACATAACGATATTCATGCATGCTCGTACTCGAAATATATTATAACCGAGGGACCACTGCAAGAACCGAGTGTCTCCACTTTTTTTTTCAAAGTGAGTTATGTATTTGGAGATATTCTATTTCAAGAACAGTGTATCTCATCTGCAGCGTTATTTAGTCATATCATCGCATGGAGAATGGAGATACATTGTACACTCCAGGTATGTTCCGGAGATACCTGATATCGTTTTTGAAGAATATTCACAAAATGAGTTTAATTTTAAGTTGTTAAAACGTCTAATTAAAAGACAGAACTAAGTGACGCATCTATTTCCAATATTCAGGTTGTTATCGTATAATCGGAATTTTTATTTAAAAATCACCACGCTTTGGACGTGTTGAACGTGTTTAAATGTTAACATTTGGTCACATGTGTAAAGTGCTATTCTATGGGTTTAGGTTAAGCTACAGTGGGAAAGGGTTTCCTGATTAGTATATTTCAAGTGCTATGCACCAGGAGATAAGCACCAAGAGACCTAGCTTAGAGATTTTAGACTATTCGGAAGGACATCGGTTCTCTTCCAGGACTGTCTGCTTTGCCTAAAGTTTTTCTATGACTTCCTTAGGCAATTGCTGGGGCAGTACTAATTTTTTTAACAGATAATCTGTCACCTCTCTTCCGTCTTCATTTCGCCTGTCTCATCATTCTCGCCCGAACCACCACACACTCATTCTCATCATCATCTCACATCTTTAACTGTTTGTGAACAGTAATCTACGTCTACCTCTTCTCCTCTTAGCTCTTGTTTCTGCTTCTAATACGTTTCTCACTAGCCCTTCTTGTCTGAGAAGGTGTCCTACCAATCTATCTCGCCTATTTCTTATTGACTTCCATAGCGTCTCCTGTTCTCCTACTTTTTCTTATACCTCCTAATTTCTAACCCTTTCTATTCTCATCATTCGCCTGTAACACCACATTAAGTTCACGAACATAGAAGTGACTTCTTTTTGGTAAAGGCTGCCCGATCCTCTCCTCTCTCTACTGCTCCTTCTATCCTGAGTTGTTTGACTTCCTAGATACCAAAAATCAGTTACTTCTAATTTTTCGTCTTCTATCTTTGTATTCACTTTTTTCATACTTTTTCTTCTCTTGCAGAGCAGTATTTTTCTTTTACTTTTATTTATACTTATGCAATACTGTTTTGTGAATACCAATTCTATTTTATTTAAGGCTATCTCTAACTCCTACATCATCTGCAAATCTAGGCATACTAAGCATAACCATTCCCAGAATTCTTAAAAGAAGGCTGAAGGGGGGCCTTCTGCCTTTCCCTCCGACGTAATTCCGAAGGATTGCCTGTCCATCAGCATTCGTTTTTCATTTTCGGACAATTACATTAAAGCCTTAAGCTATATGAAATTTTATTTCAGAGAATAGGTGTACTTACAATTCGTAATAAAATTGCTATTAAATCTGCGGTACGTACGTATTAAGTTAAACTAACTGCTTTTTACTTATTGTACTATGCGTTTATCTTTTAAGGGCTGTGTTTAATTCATTGGAAATTTATTTAACGAGTCATTAAATTCGTTGGTTCCACTGAAGTTACCTTCAATATTTGACATGTTTAAATAACCACACATGCATTATTTATGATATATAACAAGAGAAATGGCAAACGAACAATGTTAACAACTTTTAACGCCCATATTGTAATTAATAAACTATTTACCCGGAAATGTACATATGTATGCAGTCGAGATTAGAAATGAATAGTTCAAACGCGTTCAGAGAACGATTGTCGATAAAATAGCACAGCTCGGACACGTTTTTCCTAAATAAAAACTGTACGTAATTTTTAACACCGAATTGAGTCTGAATCTATGCTCCGAATTTGGCCATTATATTCGGTTTTCGGGTATAACAGTGGAAAATATTTCAAAACCTTTTTCGTTAATTTTCTTGTCTTGGTATCAATTTTAGACAGTTCCTTATTGAAAAGACTTAACAGAACCTCTAAGCCAGTGGTTCCTAACTTTTCAATTTTTGAGGAAACTAATTCTCTCCTTCAAAATGTTTTACAAGGAAACAGCACATATGTACTAAACATTTAGGCTAATATTGACCATTTTCAAAATAACAGGGGTAAAAGGAACTAAGATGTTTATCATCATAAGGTCGTCAGTCCTAAGACTGGTTGGACATGCACCTCCACTCTTTCCTATCCTGAGCTAATCTTCGCATTTCTCTAAAACTAGAACAACCCACATCCTTAACTATTCTCATCTCATCATTCGCCTGTAACACTACATTTCGAACGCTTCTAACCTTTTCTTTTCCGCCGCGCCTACCGTCCATGTTTCGCACCCGTACAACACCGCGCTGCAAACATGCATCTTTAACAACTTTTGTCGAATTCCTAAATTAACTGTTTGCGAGCATAGAAGTGACTNGATAGAAAAGGTTAGAAATGAAGAGGTATTAGAAAGAATAGAAGAACAGAGGACTCTATGGAAGTCAATAAGAAATAGGCGAGATAGGTTGGTAGAACACCTTCTCAGACATGAAGGCCTAGTCAGAAACATATTAAAGGCAGAAAATGGAGTTAGGAGGGGTAAAGGTAGACTTAGGTTAGATTACTGTTTGCAAATAGTTGATGATGTTCTAGTTTAGGGGAATGCGAAGATTAACTCAGGATAGGAAAGAGTGGAGGTGCGTGTCCAACCAGGTCTAAGACTGACGACCTTCTGATGATGAAGTGATCCTTATCGAATAATGCAACCAAATATAAGGGTGTACTTTTGAAAATTGTCTTTAACCACTTTTTGGTTTTTAGCTATAACTCAAAAAGTATCTAACTCATTGAGAGGTTTTTTGTTTTGTCATGTTTTTTTATCAAAATAATGTCGATAGTTGTAAAAGTTATGAAAACTCTCCATTACATAAATTGATCATTCCTCCAACTCATAAATTGACCTTTTGAATAAAATAGTACAAGGTAAAAAATATCAAAAAAAAAATCGGTTGTCTGTAAAGTCGGTTTACTGACGGTAATTGAACGTGACAACGTCATAAGAAAATACCGATGGAATGGTTTCATTTTTCAAAAGAAAATTTTAATTTTTTTTGTTTGATAGATATTTTGCATGGATATAGAGAAGGGGGTAAATGGAAATGTATTATTGTATAGCAGTTGTCCACGCGGACGCATCGCTCACTCAAGTAGGAGAGAGACAAATGTCGAACGCTGCCGAACGCGGAGGCCGACTGTGCCTCTTTGTCGCTCGTTCCGCGCTCTCGCTTGCACTTCAAGCCTTAAATGGAACGCCTCAGAGCGAGGTAACGCCGCATGAGTCATGTTTTTTCGTGCGTGCAGCCGGCTCCATCGAATTATAAGACGTTGTTACGTCAAAAAATTTGGTTGCCCCTGTATTTCTACCATGTGTTATCTAGACATAGGTACAAATAACACTCACTCCGAGGATATTCTTGTAGATGCAGTAAAGCAATAAACTGAAAATTTGAAATACTAAAAATGCTTTGTTCCAACAAAAGAATATATTAAAGTTATTTCAAATAGTTTTACTCATAAATCCACCGGAAGTAATAATTTTTCGTGTAGTCTTGCGTATCTGGTCTTGATCTTACATATTTGGTCTTGGTTTTGGTTTTAGTCCTGGTCTTGTTCGTTCAGTCATGATTTTAGTCTTCGTCTTGTTCGTTTGGTCTTGCTAGTTTAAAGACAGTATTGGTGTTGAATAAGATTGCAAGACGAAGACCAGTTTTACTCACCACTATTTTTGCATGTAAATAATTTGCCCGATGTTTTTTTTCGTTTTTCATCTGTAACTTTTTTCCTAATGATTTAATCGAAAAAAGTCAAAAGAGAACGTTGTTTAGAATCACATTTTCAATAAGGTAAGGGGGTTCCATTTTTCAAAGTGATAATTTTTTTTCAATAAATGAAGATTTATCGAGAAAAAGCGATTTCTTTCGTGTCCACTTTTAAGAAATCCGGCTACCTATTGGGAAAAGAAGCCTTTTTCATACTTATTACTCCTGCTAAAATTTTATCGTAATCGAATTATTTGTTGTTCACGTATTTATTTTGATCATTAATTAAAAAAAAAAAAAATCTGACCTTAATTAAAATTTCTTACTAAATATATACGTACCTTTTAGTGTGCGACTTCGACCCACATTTGACCAGTTTTAATAAACTTTAGTTCATGAAAACGTTAAGAAAGCATATTAAGAAGCGATCAGACCTTTCGCCGGCCATGGTTCATGG